CCTCATAGTGTGCTCAATATAATAGAGTAAGCGTATGTGCATGTTTCTCCTTCTCCCCTGAGTTGCTTACAAGAGAAGAGTTGTAGCCTAAAGAGGTACAGGTGTGTCCTGAGAAGAAAAAATGAGCTGTCTTGGAGGAAGATGTTTGTTAAGTAATACCTTTCTGCTGGAACCTATTCAAGCCAGAATCCCTGTTCTGTGAATAATTAGATATTGAAATCACAAATGCCCTCAGATGTCAATTCCACAGATACTACTTGAGAACCTACTATGTACAGGGTGTGCTACGGAACATGGTCATGAACACAAAGATGAGTCAGGAGCCCCAGGTTGTCTATAGCCCATTGGAAGGTGGAGGTAACTGTGAAATGAAGCAGGGTAAGTTGAGGGCCATGAGAGTGTTGGCACATGGCCTGTAGCTTGAAAGGAGAGTGAGATTATTTTCTATGGCTCTGCAGAGGCTGTTTCACGTATTGCAAATGTGTGCATTTCTTTCCTGGTGACTGAAAGTGGCAGGCCAGTCTCTTTGCTGTGCCGTAGTTCTGTGTAATATTTGATCCCCCCCTCCCCCCAACCTTCCTTAAGAAAAATTTTGCTGTACATTAATCCTTTTGAAGCCGTTAATGGTGTTGCTGAGACAATCGTTTAAGCAGTTAAAATACACAGTACATTGTGTACTTATTTTAGAGGCAGCAGTGGTTAGCCACTGGAAACTAACCATTGGGTTTGATAAAGGGGGGAATTTTATATGTTATGGCTTATGACAGAGAATGGAAAAATGCTTCAGTGAGATGGGTTGGCATTTTAAATTGGAACACAATAATAGAAAAAATTGCTGAAATCAACAGACTGCTTAGAAATATGGTTACTATTTGCTGAGAGAGGCCTTTCAAGGTAGCCGCATACACGCGTTTGCAACCACAGTCAGTTGAGTTCTTCCCTGGACACAGGACTGTGACCATGATTGACGTCAGTGAGAGTTATGTACTTGCAGAGGAAGGAGATTTTAGGTCTTCCATGAATCCAAGGCAAGTGGGAAATAGGTGTACTAAGCAACAAGTTATAATAGACTTACACGTGTCACATAACTTAGGTTGGAAACCAGGCAAAGGTGATGGTGATCTTCTGAATCTTCTGGGACTGGCTTAAAAATTCTCCTTTTTTCCCCACAGCCATTACAATACGAATTGATTCTAGTTCACACAACCTGAAGAAGATAAAAAAGGTAGAATTGGGGATATGGAAGAGAGGCTTAGGAGGTAACATTTGATTTATGACTTGGACAATATGAAGGAAGTGGCCTTGAGAGCTGGAGGATGAGAATTTCAAGGAAAAGCATCGAGAATGGGTGACCTTGGGCAAATTGCTGTACCTCTCTGGGCCTCATTGTCTTTGTTTGTAAAACCAGAGTTGGATTAAGTGAGCCCTAAGGAATTTTTCTACTCTAAAATTCATTAAAATAAGACTAGTTAAAATGGGCAACAAGGCCAAATGTATTTTTTGTTTTCTTTTATTTTTAATTTTTTTCCAGTTTTATTGAGATATAATTGACATAGATTTATTTAAAGTGTACAACATAATGATTTGAGAGAGATATATATATATATACACATATATATATATATATATATATATATAGTGATGTTTGTTTTTAAAGATGGCAGCCCTAGGGGTGTTTGAAACATTGGCAGTAGGATGGAGACATTGAGAGGGAGAAAATATTGGCAAGAGAAAAATGTCAAAATGAAACAAGATTCCAAATTAGTGGGAGGGGATGGTATTGGGGGGAATGCTTCTTTCCCCTTTCTGATGTTTCCTTTCTTGTGGAGGGAGTGTAATTGCTGTAACATTCCTGGTCACCTTACTTCTTCTTCCCTGAGGGAGGTGGAGTGACTTACTCCGGTAAGTGTGGGAAGAAGGAACTGGGTATGCTCTGTTCAGATCGGCTCCCCCGTCGGCTCTTGGGCAGCAGTCCTGACCACAGAGCGCTGTTCTTCGCCAGGCCCTGAGTCTTACCTAGGGAGGGCACCTCCTCTTCTGGGAGCTTCCACCTGATCCAGCATTACCTGTGACCCTATGGGCAAATCTGTCGAATTTAGGGATTCAGGTTTCAGCTACCTTAGGCTCCCACACTGTGGCTCCCACACTAAGCCGTATTCTGCAGTTTAGTCTTCATCAGTAATAATGTTGATAGTTTGGTCTCTGTCTGCCATATCCTCATCTTATTTCTCTGTGTGCCGAATTTGGATAGGAAAGAAGAGTGCGATTTGTTTCCCTCTCGCAGACCCCAGAAGCTGCGATGCAGGGGAAAGAATTAGCTTTGGTGAGAAGGGGTATCGTTTCCTCTGAATCAGGAGAAGGCAGTAGGTGTGAAGAACTAGAGATCCTTGAGGTATGATGGAGTTTCAGAGATTCCAAATCATCTCAGTAAAGTAGGAGCCCAAATAATTAGCTGAGAATGAGTCAGCAGGCAGGAAATTGGAAAGTTAGAAGAAGGAAAGATTTAGAATTGCCCCCATAGGGAGTATGCTCAAGAATCCACTGAAGAGGACCAAAGGATTGCAAGTTAGGGTGACAAGCAGGGCGATGGTAACAGACCTAGATGGGTGGGGCTCTAAGGCAGGCTCTTCTCTGCCACTAGGGACAAAAGTGGTAAAAACTGCTCTACAGAATATACTTTATTCTTAAATTATATTAACTTTGACAAGCAAATGAAGGAATCTATTAGGGTTAGTTAGACAATGAATGGTTATTTCCGTATCGTTACAAATGCTAAATTGTTCTTCTTCAGATATGATAGTTTAGACAGCCACTAAGTTAACCCTTGTCTCAGTGATTCACATTTTCCTCTTGTCTGTGTGTATGTATTCAGGGGTTTTTTGTTAAACAAGTTTGTGTGTGTGTGTGTGGTGTTTTTGTTTGTTTGTTTTTTGGTGAGAAAGATTGTGCCTGAGGTAACGTCTGTGCCAGTCTTCCTCTCTTTTTTTTGTACATGGGACACCATCACAGCATGGCTTGATGAGCGGTGTATAGGTCCATGCCCAGGATCCGAACCCGTGAACTCCTACTGACGCAGTGGAGCCTGTGAACTTAACCACTATGCCACCAGGCCAGCCTCTAAACAAGTTTTTTAAAAGGACCCAGTCAACAAAATGCTGCATGTTAGCAGCCCAGATACCAGCAGGATGAAGTTTTAACATCTGTTGTTTCTCATTACATAGATACGGACAGTGGCTTTAGTGAAGGTTGTTATTCATTACATGACAAGTTCAGTAGCTATCATGCAGAAAAGAAAATACCCTGGCTTATTCCCTTTGCCCATTGACTTTTCTAGAACCAAGAGGAGTATCAGCTTCTCCATACGGTAATCTCAAAGCTATTCTTTGCATCCCTGATTTCTCTCAATTCCTATTACTCTTAAAGTCATAGTATGTATTACCACATGCAGGTTGGTGGGGGAGGGAGAGAAGGGAGCAGGGAAGGATTTCGGGAGGCGATTGCACTTGAACTGGGTGTAGAGGGAAAATAGAATTTGACACGTAGATATGGGAGGTAGGAGCCAGGAGCACTCCAGGGACACTGGTTATGGGAGGTGCGAGCCAGGGGCACTCCAGGTATGGCACACAGCTTAGTCCAAAAAACAAGAAAGCATGGTGTCAGGTCATCTTCAGGGAGAGTGTATTGAGCAGGCTCTTTAGCTGGAGGACAAAGATGCAAAGGGAGTATGGTCTCCATGACCAGGAAAATAGCATGAAACCAGATTGTACAAGGCTGCAGGAATGAAAATTCAGTAGGTTTGTTTGCCGGAATGAAATTCTGGAAGAGAGGGAAAAGAGTCTAATAGAGAGGCAGGTAAAGTAGGAAGGGAAGTGAGAAGGAGTTAGAATAAAAAGGGAGGGCTCAATTTTACTTGAAAAGTCAAGCAAGTAACGTTTTGTAGTTGGTAAAAGAATACCTCCTGATATTTAGAAATACAAAAATTATTTTAAATATATCTACTTTGTCAGAGTTTTTATTTCTTTTCCTCTGCCATTTCTTTTTCATTTTTAGTAAAAGAATAATAGTAATTAAAAAAAAGAGTATACCCTGAAAGAAGTGAGGTACACAACAGGGACTGAAATAATTTCAGGTAATTTTTCTTTTAGCTCGATTGCTATTATAAAAAAATACATTTTGATTCAGAACTTTTATGAGGAACTGGGGCATTTTATTACAACATCTGTTTCTACATTTTATTTTCTCTGCTTCCTTTTACAGGTATTTGCATACTTTTTTTTTTTTTCAAATGAGAAGACCTTTTTGTTTGCCACAAGAAGGCTATTATCCAGAATGTTAATGGGTTTTCAGCTATTAAGATGTAATGATATACCTTGAGTATTTAACTATAAATTTGAAAAATCTCCATGAACAATCTCAAAGGAATACTTAGAATGCACTCCTGGTAAATTGGCTCATTTTCCTGTAATTCACTGGAAGTGCTGATGGGAGAGCAGTCCTAATGTGAAAAGTACATTAATCCCTGGAGTTACATTGTATGTATTAAATTATTACTCTCAAAGAATAAAACGTATGAGGCCATTTAGCCTTCATTCACATTTGTTACTTAGAATCACAGTAGAGAAACAATCACTTATCTTTTGATGCACAAAATTAGAAATGATACATTTAGTATCTTTTAAAACCAGAGGCATAGTGATGCTCAGTTACGCTTTTGCATAATGATTATTCTTTTCCAAAACAAGGACTGTTCCAGTTAGGAACAGGATTCTTCCGTCTTTGTGGAGGCCCCTTTCATTCCACTGGTAATTGAAATATTTTTAGAAACTCCTAATGCAGCTTTCTTTGATGTCAGTCAAAAAGATTAGTCTGCCTTCTAGCTGCGAGCTTCCACCACAGTGGGGATTATTTAAGAAGGTAGTCAACTTGCAGGAGCAGCAGTGGCAGGAACATTTAGGGTCTTATTTGGAATTTTGTCTAATTGTGTTTTTCTTCTTTGCCAGGGGACTGAAAGTTGTCGAACCGTAATTTGTGACACCAGGTGTTTTTTGGTAAGCAGCCATTTGTGATTTCGAAAGATTAAGGCAGATGGGAAGTCCCTTCTGAGATTTTAACACAGCTCTTGAACAGCAACCTACACCATGGACGTAAAGCTGGACCCTTCCCGAGATGACCTGCCTCTCCTGGCTAACACCGGCCACATACTTGTGAAGCACTATGTACTGGATTTAGATGTGGATTTCAAAAGTCAGATCATTGAGGGCAGCATAGTGCTGTTCTTTGAGCCTGGAAACAGATTCAAGAAACAGAGTAGTTCCATCGAGGAAACCTGCCAATCAGAGTCAAATGAAGCCTGCAAATTTAGGATGCCTGAACCCTGCCACAATCCTGTGACACATACAAGTACCTTCTCATCTAAAATGGGATATGATGGTTTTTCAGTCTGTGGTAAAGGTGTAAAAGATACTTCTGGTAAAGATGGTAACCATGACAACTGGGAACAGGCTTCTGGGATTTCTAGTTCAAAGTACTGCTGTGACACAGGGAATCATGGGAGTGAGGATTTTTTGCTAGTGTTGGACTGCTGTGATTTGTCCGTGTTAAAGGTTGAGGAGGTGGATGTTGCCGCTGTGCCAGGTATTGAAAAATTTGCAAGGTCTCCCACGCTCACGGTTGTTTCTGAGGAGCTCAGGAATCAGATTATACGGGAACTTGTGACTCTGCCTGCAGATCGTTGGAGGGAGCAGTTAGACTATTATGCTCGCTGCAGCCAGGCTCCTGGCTGTGGGGAACTCCTGTTTGACACTGACACTTGGAGCTTACAGATCAGGAAGACAGGGACTCAGGCAGCTACTGACTTTCCTCACGCCATAAGGATACGGTACAGAACCAAACCCCAGGGGCGATCAGTTACATGGACTTCAGACCAGAGCGGCAGGTAGGTTGTCTGGCACTCCCCAGCCCTCCGCCCGTTAATCACACACTGGGAGATGAGCCTTTGCAGGGATGCTCTCAGACGGTACCAACTCTGCAAAGATGCTCCCCTTCATTCTGTGGTATTACCCATCTAGCCTCAAATCCTTAGACCCATAGTGAAGCAGGGAAATTTCCAGACATACTGAACTCTTAATAGGATTATTTCCCTTAAGTCAGGATGAAAAGATTACTTTCCTAAGCCCTGCATTTCTGAGTTAGGAGATTGAAAGGCAAGCCTCCTGATTAAATCCCGAGCCCAACTCTCTGCTGAGATCTCTGCTGGCCCCTTCCAGTGCTGTAGATGGCAGTGCTCTGTGTCCCTGCGCCAATGCTTCTCAAAGCTCCCGCAGACTCTCCCTGAGGGGGTGCCCTGCTGCCAAGTTGAGTGGGTGTGAAGCCTGGCACAGTGCTTCCAAAGAAAGCCGGCTCTGCTCTTGTACCTCCTTGCTGTACCTGTCTCTTGGCAGCTGTGCCTCCCTGGACTTCGTCAGCTGTCGTATAACGTGAACCCCTAAAGCACTGGGAAGATCCATTTCTGAGGAGTGTGACAGTCAGTCCTGTCGAGTCCACACTTGATTCTTTGGCTGTGATTCTTCGTATTTGACACCAGCGAGACTCCTGGTTTTTAGTGTGGGGAGAAGGAATTGATGAGGCATCGATTTCCAGGCAGCCATTCATTCTTTTCTTCTTGCCCTTCCTCCAACAGTTGTTGAGGGTTTTTAGAATTTGTGAATTTTTAAATCAAACGTTATTGATTCCTCAATATTTTACCTATTTCTTTGTGCTAATGTGCTGCAAATCAATACAGTAATGATTGCAGAGCTTGGCTGGAGGAACGCTGATCTCTGCGAGCTTGTTGGGAGCGCCGCCTCTTATAGCATTGGACTTCCTTAATGGAGGCGGTAGTCTCCCCCGACCCATCCCCCAAATGCATTTTCAGTTTTTTTTAAAGCATCACTTTGACTTTGAGCTCTAATTATCCCATTCTTGCCTCTAATCTTACCTCCTGCTTTGGTCTCCAGCCCCACTTGGAATGAGTTCACTTTGTCTTATTTCTTCTAGAATCAGAGGCAGCCTTTGGGCAATTGCAGGATTGGTACAAACATACGTCAGTACAAAAGCATAGTGATTTGTTTATTTATTGGATATTCTTGGGGACCATGAAGGAAAGACACAGGTGTTCTTATTGAATCTTCAAAATTCTTTGACATTTTTAAAGATGGGGTCTTCAATAAGATTTAGCAATATACTGTCTCTGAATATTTAATTAGAAGTTGTAGTTTTTATATTCTCAGATATTCCACTTTTGAATTAGAATAATGGGGAAGAAGAAACTATTGACAGTGTTTGGAAGAAGTGCTCATTAATGGCCTCAAACATGGCTTTCTTCTCAGGGCTCACTACAAAGAAAGATTAGACTTGTGAATTACATTTCATGTAAAGTTTTGAGTAGGAACGAGTTATAGACAAGTGCTGATTTCGTAAAGAAACTAAAGAGGTTCTTGGGCGTATCTGGCTCCTGGGAAGGTTGACTTAGTGAATTTACTCTTGATGTCGCCTTTTCTGATAATTCAATAAAATGCTCATTTACAGCGGAGTTTAAACTGTATCCTTGCACGTTTATGGTTATATGTTAGTAAATAAGCGGCGTTTATGCAGTCTTGCAAGGATAATAAATGTGGTTTAAAAAAGAAATCCTCAAAAGATCTTTTCTTTCCCTTTTGTTCTTTTTCTGGGGGGAATTTTATTGCAGTCAAGATAATCTTCCATGATTAGCCACCAAATTTCTGTAAACTCTCCCACGTGCTTAAGAGTAAATTTGGGTAGATTCTGCTAACTGTTGGGATACTTTAAGGATTTTAAAATGCCCAAGGATCCCAGATTGCCAGACAGAAATATTTCCGTAGTGATATGAGTGAATAGTAATCGTCAGGTTACAATGCTTTTTTAGTATAATTGTGTGAAAAATACAATTGCGTTGAGCTTATTTCCTCCAAGGCAGAATCTACATTTACTAAAACTAAAATAGTTGTTATTTTTTACCCTTGAATGGCAAAATACTGTCAGTATACCTACTGTAAATTTTTAGTCCCAGATGAGAAACTTTTTATTGTTATTTTATGAGTAGGAAAATTGAATAAAGTTATTGGAAGCTCTTAGAAAAATCCATGTCTCAATTGTGGAAGATAGCTACTTTTCATCTTTACCTTGACCCTTACTGTATGTAAAGATTTCAAATACACTTAAAAAAATGAATTATATTTGCTTTCAATAAATTTCTATTTTTGAGCAGATTTTAGAAACTTAAGAGAATCTCTAAATTGGTATCTTTTGTTTCGAGTTCCATCAGTGACTTCTCCCTTTCTGACCCTCACTCTGCTCCTTGTCGAGAATAAAACTTAAGTTATTTTGTTTGATAATATGTAGGTAAATAATCATTTAGGAGGTCAGGGGCTCCCTGGAATGGAATGCAAAGTGTGACAAAGCAATCCAACTGTATTAAAAATGTATGAAAGAACCTCACTAAAGGAGTAGGGGAAAAGGCGTGGCCTAAATAACGCTGGAAATGAGCGGAGTCTCTAAGATTAAAGGCAAGAAGGACTGACCTAAATACTATGCTGTAGTTAATAAGCTTGTTTCCCATGGGGGTGCAGGTGAACACTTCTGGTACCACTGTCCATGCATACTAGAACTGAGTAATTAAGTGAATGGATGGCAGATTGTGGGAGCCAGGTTTCTCACTGTTGACCTGGGAGGTTACACATAAGCGAGAGGAAGAGGCTGGAGTGATCCCTGCGGTAATGGAGTAGAGTTGGAGATATCACTGTGAACTCGTGTTTAGCTCAATATAGATATAGATAGTTGCATGTAGAAATAATTATAGATATGAATGTTTCCAGGGCTTAGCAAACACAGGTATATTTCCTTACTTCTCAGCTGAGAGGGTTTAGAAGCAGTGAGCACAACCCAGGGCCTGGATCTTGGTTTCTAATACCATTCTACAATAAAGGAACCAGGGTTTCTTGGAGAAATGGCTAGGACTGGGGCAGGAAGTGTACGAAATGAGCCTGGAGCATCATGTAGTGTCCAAGAACAAGGAAATGCTCAAACAGCAGCACCAACAACCCACAATTGTGGGTGTCATGTCAAAGGTCCAAGGAGCCATCTGAAAAACTAATGGTCAAAGCTGAGTGACAAAATGAAGAAAATAGTTTTGCATGATAACCCAAAGTATAAAATAAATATCCATGAGTCCATACTGATATAAGTAAATGATTGAATAAATAAACAGATGGAGGAGAATGGACCAATCCGTGGTGTAAAAGAAGTCCAGGGTATATAGATACTCTGTCATCAAGGAAGTGGAGCATAACTCCTCACTCCTTAAGTATGGACTACACATAGTGACTTCCTTCCAAAGAGGGAAAAATGAGTGACTTTACATTGGAGAAGCCTGAGAGACAGTTGCCAGGAGAAACCTGTTGTCAGTTGTCCAGTTGTCAGGAGAAACCTGACAAACCTCAGCAAGGAAATCAAAGTTAACATCAAAAGGGATGAGTCATGTTGGTAGTATGTACCTTTGATATGATGTGATGAAAATGGCATCTTGGCGATCTTCCTCCCCAAACCCATAACCCCAGTCTAACCAAGAGACAAACAGATAAATCCCAATTGAGGGACATTGAACAAGATAACTGACGAGTGTTCCTCAGAGCTCTCACGGTTAGCATAAACAAAGAAAGTCTTAACCTGTCGTGGTCAAGAGAAGCCTAAGAAGACATGATGATTAAAAGTAATGTAGTATCCGAGAACAGAAGAAGGACATTAGGAAAAATCTAAGGAAATCTGAATAAAATCTAGACTTTGCGTAATAATGTATCACTATTGGTTTACCAATTGTGACAAATATACTAATGTAGATGTATGTAATAGGGAAAACTGGGTATGGGTCTATGGGAACTCTGTGTATTATCTTTGCACTCTTAAAAAGAGACCTGAAATAAAGTTTATTAAGAAAATAAACTTCAAATTTGGAAATAAATCGCCATCTTTCTACCCTGAAATCCCTGTTTCATAGGGGATGTCCTGTTTTTACCAAACGGCAGTGTTCTCTGGAGAAGAACTAAAAGTATGTTTGAAGCTATACAAGAGTATTTCTTTCAATAATTGTCAATAATTTTTGCTTTCCCATTATTATTCTAGTTCTGAAATAAAATGTCTGGAAATACAAAAATTACATTTTCCTACCTTGGTATAGCCATTGTGGGGTCGTGGCAACCCTTGAACCTAAGTGCTCTTTCTTGCCTTCATCATTCAGATGCTGGATTTTAGGTGACAGTGAAAAATGACTGATGAAACAGACAGATACATAACAATCTGATACAACATGCTTCTTGGAAAACTTGTTTACTTTTGTGTAGTGTGTGTGCCCTTTAAAAAATATTTTGATAAAAACAGAGACAAGGTCAAAAATGTGTAAGAGTGTTCTTGCTAAGCTAGAAAGGAGGGAGACAATATATTTTTGATTCTAATCCTCAACATACTTAAGAAAAAACCCTTTTAAACATGGAAATCTTTATTCAAAGTTTATGTACTTTCTACATTTTCTTGCATTTTTTCCATTCCAGTGAATAAAATGTTATTTAAAACCAAAGCGTTCTCTCTGGTAATCCGTTCCCCTTTCCCTTTGGATCATTAAAATAGTTGTGGAACCAGCCAAGTGGGCCAGAAGATCTGGACTTAAGCTGATGATATCACTGAGCATGAGTTGAATGGAGGGGAAATTCGGTTAAATATAGGAAATTTATTTTAAAAACTATAATTATTTGAATCATTGTTAAAGATAAGGAAACTGGGAAGATATGTTATAATTTAAAGTCATATTAAAATTTTAAATTTCCTAAATCTCTATGATGTTTCTTTGTTTTAGACAAGCCCAGGATGAAGTTGGCAAAATACTGA